TGCTAGGCAGTTTCTTGACATATCTACTGATGAGTCTCCGTTGAACTGCAAATTCATGAAAAGAGATTTCTTAAGAACTATGGAAGTAGAATGATCATGTGCTTTTAGTTTCATAGTTTTAGTAGTGAAACTCCTAGGATACTAGTTTTCAATCAAAATTACGTTCATCTTCCAAAGTATCACAACTACAAACAATGTAAATTCTATGGCATACAGAACGAATTAGATTCACCTTGATGTCTAAAGTCACCCAAACATGAAAATTCGTAATTTAGCTGTTCTATGTGAATCTTCTGTGTATAGACCTACTGAGTGATTCAATGTTTCCTCTTTCTAGCTAGTTAACACCAAATTTATTACGATATACTCTAAAAGATTCATTTATATGACGCAAATGGGCACTTTGCGAAAGACAGAAATACACACAAGAAACTAATTCACTCCTGTATGAAAAGTATTTAAAATATCCAGTCACTGTTTCTACTATTGACTAGGCTATTTCCTCATTTTAAATTATGCATCAAGGCAACTTGATATCGCGTCTTCGTTAACGTATTTGGACAGATAATGTTCGTCACGTTATTATTTCGATGAAACGAATTACTATTTCACAATTTCGATACTAAACGCTGTCAGTGAAGTGAAACTTATATCAGGTATCAACAGTATAAGAATGAAAGATCATTTAATAGTATTCATAGTTCACTAAAATAATATAAGAAAATCTCCATGTATCAAAAGTGTACCGAACTTTACACAATTTTGCGTAAACAAACATTTTTCAGAAGAGCAGAAAAACGCTTTTGTTGCGTAGGATGATGAGAAGTATCTGACGAATCAGACAGATATACTCGATAAAAAGGGACCTAGGATTAATGAATAACGGTTCAAGTTGCCATACATATAATCACATCAAGCGGGAATAGACTAAAACAAAAACTAAATGAATAGAGAAGAATGCAGTCAAAACTGGTAGAAATTAATAAGATAACAAGAAGTAATATGAAAATACTGAATTCAATATAACGATTGAAATGGGGATAATGCGTGAATACATCTGTGCTACTGAAACCGATTCTAAACCATATCATTTAGAGTCTCTAGCCACGGATTTCGGTTGTCGTACGGACCCCAACCAGAAAGTCTACATTTTCCTACATGACTCAGACCAATAATAAAAGACTTCATATAATGATGCCATATTCTAGTCTGGCCGCCCCTCACCTTTTCCTAGCCTTAACTGACTTCAGCTAACATTGTGTGATGAGGCAGGTTGTGTCTCGACATGCGTGACACGTCTCAGCCACGTCAGTGTACGATGGTTCATAACCTCATCAACTGACTTTCTTCTCCCCCCTAAATCACGATACCTGCCTTCTGCACTACTGATGCAGTGACAACACGACATACGGTCTGTGCTACGAAAACAACGGTGGTCAAACACCTAAAGCCTTCTTGTCTCCTCTGCTTTAAATAGTCATATTTCATAAACACATAGGAGAACAGAGCAAATTGCAGTGCAGTACACTTAACGCTTAAAAGACAAACAGACATCACGCAGGTGTCACAGATGTCATAAGCTGACAAAACCCAGTCGAACATTTTGTATCCGTCCAGAGATTTCATCAGTCACTGATGATGTACCAGGGATGGTGATTCCAATTAGCACATATACGAATTGGTCAACATGCTCAGTCACTACACATTCCCGGTTGTTAGACAAGGCACCCAATGAAGACCAGTTCTGGAGCAACAGTTTGCATTTGGGTGGTGAGAAACATCCCAAACATTTTCAAATCGCCACACAATGCATTCAGAAAACTCTACATCTTATCAGTGTCTTCACCTAAAGGAACTATTTCATCTGTGTACTCCAGATTAACTAAGGATTCTCCTATGATGAAACGAATCTCTGTGAAGTCAGATGTCAGGATAGAGCTTTCTAAAAGTATGTCTACGATAAGATGGAATGAAAATGGACAGAGCAAACACCCTTGACAGATGCAGATCGACGTACACAACTCACCTGTTACCTTACCATAGACTCTAACACGCCCATGAGTATTCGACTACAGACCATTCAACAGAGTAATGGTGCATTCTCACTCAGCGCCCGTTTCAGTGAAAGGCACTGCCATAAAACCTCTCGATCAACCGAGTCGAATATCGCCTTCAGGTCGAGAAATATAGCTAATGTAGGGTGTAGGTAAGCTAAGTGTTCCAGCGCACCTGGTGCAGAATGAATATTTGGTCGGTCCATCTATAGCCAGGTCTGTAACCTCTCCGGTTTTCTCAGCTTCGTTGTTCGCGAGCTCTAACTAAGACGTGTAATAACTGTAGAACCTAGAATTGTAGACACTATGAACATCAAACTGATTTTCCTGCGATTATCCCTAGAGGAAGCCTCACCTTTCTTGAAGACTATGATAATGGATGATTAAGATCAATCAGAAGGAATCATATATGACTCCTACACAATAGGTAAAACTTTATTTAATCTGACCAATAGTCCCCTACTTCCATCCTTAAATACTTTTGGTACTAATCTGTCTGGCCCCGTTGCTCTTCGTCGCTTCAGAATACCTACAGTGTTTTCAATTTTTATAAATGTTGGAAATTCTGTCTGGATGTTCCATACGGAATCCGGTTGGATAGCATGCAACGCGGTAGTAGCTGGAAGCCAGAAGAACTGTTCCACGGAGTGCTTCGCCCACCGTTCTGATTTTCTTCTCTACTGTTGAGTCATAGACCCATCCTCCCCCTTCCCGCTATGGTCTCACTAGTCACTGATTCTTTCGATCCAGTTCCCTTAATAAGTCTAAGTAATTGTCTACCGTTACCTATTTCCGCTACTTTTTCTATCTCTTTAGCCTTCGCTAACCACCACTGTTCGCTGTCATCGAATAATCTTTTTGCCAGTCTACGTTTCAGTTGCTTCTGCTCCTCATTGTGCTTGCAGCCTGAAGGGATGCATTGACGTAGATTCATTAATTAAGAAGATGCTTTTGAGATCTACTGGCTCTTTTTAGCCACCACCTGAGACCTTGCTACGGTCTCCATCACTATTTTTACAGCAGACGGGAGATGGTGCCAGACTTCTTTGGAAGAGTGATGTTGTTCTGCTCCGATTACTGTCCAGCTGGGTTTTTGCTGATGACATGACTACTTTTCTCATTGTCGAGACACACTCGCGGTGGTCTTTCTGCTACAGTTTTCTTACGTTCATTTAGGCACAGACACACGTATGCTCGAACCAACTCATGATCGCTCTCCAAACAAGCACTTTAGAAGAAGCAGCAATCTTACACTGACCCTCTTAAGCGATAAGTGATAGTAATATGGTCTATCTGTGTCCATTGTAGAGTTGAGGTCGATGAACGATACGTCACATAATATCTGTCTTCGTTTTTGAAATTCATGTTGATCAGAAGTAAATGTCTATCTGACCACAATTGTAGCAAGCGATCGCTGTTGTCTGTTCGTTAGATTGGGATTACGAAAGTGCCATGTCAGTGCCCCTCTGTCTGGTTTACTCTACGTACTTGTGCGTTGAAACCACTTATAACAACAATAACAACAAAAACAATCCTGTCTGAATGTTTCTTCCGAAATGTAGTCATTGGGAAGGTATGAAGAGACTAAAAAGAGACACCGGCAAGTTTTCTTCTCTGTGCTGTTTAGTCAAATATTGCATACGTGACTGTCAACTGGGATCCATACGAGTAGTGCATTTTCAGCCCAAGCATTTAATGATGTATCTACACCTGCAAGACCTTGAAGACTAGTCATCGAATCCCAGAAATTTGAAGTGTGAACTGCGTGAACTCACCGCACTGACTGAAGAAGTTAACTGAATAACCACACTTGGGTTCTGTATGTATATCTTAGAAAAACAGCAGAGTTGAATGTGATTAAAGATGATTCAGGAAATTTGACCGAGAGACGTGAATAAATATTGGAAGTTAAGGATGAGGAAGGTGGACAGTGAGCTGATGAGACTTGAATGCTGGTGGTGTTGTGAGGGTGGCTGATACTTCCTGGCTGCTCACACCTTGGAAGATGCCTGGAAAAAATGGATTAGTGCATGAAAGCAAATTGCAGTGCGACATCTGCTTGAGGCCAGTCACACACGGTTTATCTTCTGCAAACCCAACCATGAACCCCTTATCACCGGCACCAGCAGGTCGTGGGGATAAAGGGGGCATGCTATTCTTAGAACCAACCTGTTTGAATCCGTCATTTCCATACGAAGGCTACATCTGCGTGTCACTACTGGTTATCCAAAGGGAACACCTTACTGCCATTGCACCCCATCCGACCAGAAGTACGACTTCGCCCTCGCATCCGCATCATAGCTAAAAAATTCACATTATAACAGCAACTGTGTTTTGTCCTACCATTATCCAACTGACATTTCTGGCAAGGAAGGACCTCGAGGCAACAAGCGTTCCACCAACATAATTCATTGGGTCATTGTGATAAGCAAGCCTGAACACAGTCTCAAGGTAGCAGTTATCGGTTGGGAATCCGACGAATCAATATCAAGGGGAAGAGTAATTGTCATTTGAATGAAAATTGCTAATCAGAATTATTGTTGTTATGTAGAAGCATGACAATAGTTGAAAGACTACGGATGATGGCAACCATAACATAATACTGGTTAGAAAACTGTTTTGTTCTTGTAACTAAACTTGCCGGTGATTTATTTTCTGAGTATCAACTTGAAAACGGATTTAGAACCTTCGAATTTTATAACGGCTATACATAAATACGATGATAAGACACTTTGCAACTTCACTTTTGTTATAAAAACCATCTTCAAACAAAACACAGTATGACTAAACTCCTAGCTTCAATTAGGTGTCTACATGAAAACAGCTCTTGTGATATTAGATTATCTCCCACCAATGTGTACTGAACATCGACCAGACTATAAATGAGATGTATTACAATTTACAAAAAAAATCTGTTATGCAAAGAGAGTCAAATAAAACGCTTACCACCACGTTGAACAAGTAAACGAGCTTCTTTACCAACTGGACACTGTTTCAATATTTGAACCACTTCCACATGAGGCATATCTTTTACACGTTGGTCATTAATCTCGACAACCACATCACCAACACGAAGTCGACCACAGCGTGCTGGATCTGATATAGCCTTTACATGTTGTCCTTGAATATGATCGGCTAATGTGAATCCAAAACCATTAGCTTGCTTAAAAATTGAAACCTAAATGATATTATATTGAAGAGAAGGAAAAGGGTTTAAAACAAATTCTATGTAATATGATCACCTTGACTGAATCTTATTTTTACAATTGTATGTTCAAAACAGAAATGCAAAAAAGTGTCTGAAATGAAAGTACCAGGAAACTAATCACTAATCATGGGTGCACACTGCTGAGGAGTCCTACAACAGGACGAAGCAGGTGTCCAGTGCTCCCAGGTTTCCAATGTTCCTCCAACTGATGTCAGTCCACGATGAATAGTAACTTGGAAGATCACTAAATCTCCATAAACCCACAAATTCAAATCACAATAACAATAACTCATAAATTCTAAATGATAAGCTAGAAGAAATGAAGGTTTACCGTCCCACACAGTTTGAATTTCTACCCATCTTCAAAGGTACCAAAAGGACAACAATCAAGCATAGCACATTACACAATGAAACCCTTTCAACATTCCAAATGAAGAATTATAAAAAAAACCATTTCCTTCAAACGGTTCATGCGACCAATCAACTGATGAAGTATTTGCTATCCGATTATATGAATTCTTTGGTTAGGATAAGTATAAGAGATTAGATCTTCTCAGCACTACAGTAAACCATACCCAGAAGGTATGGAAAACGTTCTTCCGCAGGACATGAGAGGAAACAATCGGTTCTTTTTTTTCAACTTAACATCTAGAAAAATATTTAAATCACATTCATGAAAACTTCAGTATGAGCTGAGAATTGTATGGTACAACACAATCCAAACTTGGTATGTTTTTTAGATATTACATAGTGAAATAGTATTATACATTGTTTTCAAGTTGGTGTTCATCATAGAATGACTTCGATCGGAGAACCATTGAAAACATGGTAGCACTGAAAAGCTGTTTCGGCTTAGTATGTGACTCCCACGTGAGTAACGCAGAAGTCAGATTTAGAGTTTTATGAAAGAGACGTAAGTCAGTTGATACGGTTGTGAACCTTCATCGACTGAGATGTCTGGGACCTGTTACATATGCCTAACCACTGTCTGCCTCGTCGCACAATGCTGGCCGAAATAGGTTCAGGCTGGAAAAAGGCTCAAGGCGATCAGACTAAAACATGGCATTATTGCATGAAGTCCTTCCCTGTTGTTTTGAGCAATGTAGGGCAATGCAGACTAGCCGGCTGGGGTCCACAGGACAACAGAAACCAGTGTTTGGAGACTTTAAGTGACATGGTTCAGAACCGATGTCAGTGGTGCAGACGCATACACACTGGATGCCAACCCAGTAAGTGGACGAAAATGCGCTAGCAGTGCGGCTTGGGGGTTCTAGTTTCGGTTGATTTAGTCGACGGTGGTGGAGCCTAAACACTGCTATTAATGCGAGTGTCACTGAATATACAGCAAAGGTTGCTGTGCCAAATTTTAATTTACGGACAACCAATGGTAGGGCAATGGAGTTAACAAACGGATTAGATAAATTATAGAAACGTATATATGACTATATATGGCATCTATGAGTGGAAGTGGGTGGTTTAATAAGATATCTGGCTAAGACCTGTTAATATCAGTGAAAGGACCAGTTGGATACTGAAAATTATACAATGCAATATTCGGTGTCAAAATACCTCTAGTTACCATCACTGAAACTGTCGTCTTGCGTTTGAATGTAAACATATCAGACAAGATAATTATTCAGAAAATATCAGCAGATATATACCTATGGAATTTTTGAATGTGTTTCGTCAGCTTCTTTTAGAGTATGTAGATGCCATCTCCCGGAAGAAGCATGCTGCTACTGCATAAAATCGATCCAGATTTCTTACCAGTGAAACAAGCAGTCTGTCTATTGCCCACTCCTGACAATAGCTTGCATACGTCACAAGAATAAATTATCACCCCATCTCATTCTGTGTCAGTTAAAACAGAGGAGGTACTCTGCCTATGTGTGGATTATGGTAAATTAAACGCCGTGGCCAGAAAAGATACATTTCCGTTCTAGAACCGCTACTAGGTTCAAGCACTGCACTATCGAATTGGTTTGCGAATAGTGGCACCCAAAGACTGTTGTATAAATTTCGAACTACTCATTTAAGGTTGATAAATTCCATAGTAATTTTTCAGAGACACAGTAACCGATGTATATATTGTTTACTTGGATGATAACAGTGTTCAGTGGTACGGTTGAAAAACATTTGAAACTGTTAAGTAGAGTTTTGCATCGTATGAGGCAACAGAGACCAGAAAAACTTCAAAATGTTGTTCACTGTGGAAATGAGTGGAATCCGTCGGCAAAGTTGTCGGGTCACATGAAATTTGTAACGACGAAGAGAAAGTAGTAACTGTGAAAGGATGACCCATACAGATATGTAAGTAAAGTAAGTGATTTCGTAAAATTAACTGCTTACTACCATCACTTTGTGAAAAACCAGTAGAGACTGCCAGTTCTCCTACATAACTGACAAGAAATAGCTTCCATTTATCTGATTATTCAATTCCCAAGATGCTTCTACACAACCGCAGGACTTCTTGTGTTTATCACCCGTTTTGGCTTTTGCTGATACATATAGGGCTACTAGTAGTTACAACTTGGATACAGATGGTAGTGATACAGCCATCGACTGAGTACTTTTTTAAGTAGGTGTAGACGATAAGGAGTGTAGATGTCACACAATGAATAGAAAAACGATAGAAACATGCGCAAAGAATTGCTGACAGTTATGATACTTAGACGGAATATTTGGGGAAGAAGGTTTGTTCTTTGTACAGACTATAAGGCATAAACAGTGGATACGATTTTTGAAGATACCGAAGAGTATGCCGCCAGATGAAAAGAACATATTCAAGAACATATTTTTGAGTGAGTACACCAACCTGAGCGACAGCAGACGAACGTAAATCCCTTATTCTGAAGGTGTTTCTGGGTAATATAAGAGTTTTTCATCGTGTAGTAAGTATTGCACGCTCTTTGTCGTTAGCAGGTTTCAGCAAGTAACTATGCAAGTAAAAACGGTGCATCCGTATCGAGTGATAACCAACGAGAAGGTTGAAAGCGACAGTAAATAAAAGGAAAGGTTGAGAAAGGAAGCTTATATATGGAACTATAAAAAAATTTAGTGACAAAAGATGGTATTTTATGTGTACAAACGAGCCCTGAGTAAGGATTGAAGGATTGATACTCATTAAAAATAGTTCAACATTTTTCCACCGATTGAATTGTTAAAATCATAAAATTAAGTCAAACTCATAGTAGACTAGTACCAAAACCAACGGTAACAACAAGAATTACCTTTAAAAATTCAGGTCTTTGTGAACTTCTCAGTTTACCAGCACCATGTGGATTAGATGGAGAACGAACAATAAGTTCTTGGGAAGAAGTACCATTGGAAGAAGGAGGTGAAAGAGATGAATGTGAAGAGATTACAGCAGAATTCCTAGATGAACCAGGTGGATGTGAATCGGAAGAAGGCAGATCACTTAACGTATCTTCTCCAAGTTTGATGTTGTTCTAAAGCGAGAAAGAAAAAAGAAAGTGATGATAAGCTAAGTAAGAACTCTACGTCTCAACGTAGTCACCAAATATTTCTTCTATCTCACTGTTGCCCGATTCAACACTAAGCATTGGGAAAGTAGTTAACTGGGTGTAAATAATCTATCCCAAAAGCTCATCAGTTTATGCAAACTCAAGACTTTAACATCTAATTTATCCTAATCTTAAGTGATGAAAACATGAAATTTCCACAACGCTGCAAAGCCAACAATTCAAATAGCGATAATCTTCATTTGTCGCTTTTCACAACAGATAAGAGGAAAAGGCGTTCTGCTGTGCAGTAACACTTTAACCCTTGGTAGACGCCAGTACTATAAGAGACAAATCAGCAACAGCAACTTGGTTCAAATGCTTATCATGACTAATAGGATTTGAATCGAAACGAAGTATCCACCCAGATTAATTTTGAAATACACAGTAGACAAAAATGTATCCTAAACATTTTTAAGTAATTTCGTAAAATTTTCTGAAAACTACACTTTGTGAGCGTCTTCATATAACATGGGTGTTTTCTACAACTTTCAGTCGACTAAAGAAATGTTAGGAAAGTGGTCAATTCAAGAGAAGTTAGAGGATATTTTGACTTCCTTAAGCATATAATAATAACAGTAGATGTCTATGGTGAATACGACTAGAAGTGCTCTCTTCAGAAGATAATTAACCACAATTGTTTGAGAAAATCATCTTCTATAATGCGAAGTAATTGGTAGGCGCCACATTCAGTAGGAAGCCGCTGCAGAACGTTACTTTCCCGCTAATAACCGTAGCCAATATTTTTCGTCTGCAAGTAACCTACTGATCAAGAATCTAGTACATAGCACATACGTGGTTAATACACTAACGACTGAGACTTAAACACAGGCATTTCCATTAGATTCGGTGTTTCTAATTAGATGAGGTTTTTGAATACCAATATATTTTAAACAAGATCGCACTTGAATTGGTTTCATAGCATGAAGAATCTTATTCTTCTTGATAAACTGACACGATCTATGATTAAGACAAGTCAAACATTGAAGTTAAACAATGGATCCTGGGTCAACATTTATTACTACCTGCAAAACTTACCAACCATGGATTTGTAAAGAAACTGGAAACTGCTAAAAATATTCAGAAGTAATCAGAACATTTCGGAGATTCATGAGAAAGCATCAACTACATGTCGAATTAGCCAGTCAGACAGTTTCATGAAACTAATGATGAAATTCACACACACATACACACAAAAGAGTATTGTTTCGGATATTTTTCAACTTTGTAGTAAACCTTTAATCACTATGCCACTTTCTATATTTCCAAAATGTCGACCGACTAGGTTAGTGTAACCTTAGAGGTTCTTGTATGGGTGTTTTAGGTTTCAGCTTCAAGATATATCGTACTCTTTCAATACTTCCAGTGTTATCATGTTAAGAATCACGTATCTTCATTTCATATTGCTTGCAACCAGTGCTTTCGTAAGAGTTGGAGTTTTTGCAGTAATACATTAAGACAAGACAGACAAAATCAACATGCAACCTTGCATACAAGTGCATTGGTTCAAGTTGCCACACTTCACAGTAGTACAAAAATCATCATCACAAAGAACAAGTGGAAAGTAAAGATTGATATTGAAGAAGACTAAGGTGTATGTGAGGAGAGAGAATTTAAAAATTAAGGTCAGTCCATACATTCAAGCTTTAGAAGACATTAAAGGGTGAGTACATCTGCGCCAGTGTTACTGATTTTCAGCCATGTCACCAAGAGTCCTCAACCACTGATTCCTTCCGTTTCGCGGACCCCAACAAGACAGTCTACATCTCCCCACACGGCTCATATCAAGAATCAGGGACTTCATCGACTGGTGTCACGTCTTGGTCTGGCCATCCTGAACCCTCTTTCAACTGAGCCTTAATTCACCTAGGATTGGACTTCGAGCCAGGCAGTGGCTGAGTATGCGTAACACATGTCCAAGCCACTTCAGTCGATGAAGGTTCACAATCTCATTGATCAACTTGCCTTCCGTTTCTAGTACACCTCACCGGATCCCTACACTGCTCATACGGTGATTTCACCAAAAGCAAGCAATGCTACAAAGGCATCTATGGTGAAAAACTTGTAACCGCTTCATTACTTCTACTTTTAACGGCTGTCTCAGCCGTATATCAGGACAAAACGAACTGCAGCGCAGTATACTCGTCCTCTGATAGGTAGCTGAATATCTCACCACTGATTCTTATTGTCTCGGAGACACCAGCCAGATACCATATTGTATTATAATTGGATAGTGGGGAACTGAAGTCAGTTGAAGACCAGTTGAATTTTTTCTTCATGATTTTGGTCATTATTATAGTAGTTCTCTCCGTGAATAGGTTAATTAACCAGTCTTTTTCAACTACATCCTTTCTAATCATCGAACACTTCGTGCAAGTCAAAAATAACTGTCTATGGTTGGATTCGGCTTTCAATTCCGCTTGTGATCATTGCGCAGATTATTGTCTATCAGATTACGCTTATTTTGCTCTTCGAACTACAGAAATGCGACAATTGAAATGACTTTGATATGCAGATATGAGTAAAAGACGGTAACAAAAACTAGTACGGTGAAAACAGGCTAGATAAGAACGGGTCTGAGATCAAACGTTCTGCAGTCCTGAGTGACATATCTTCAACTGACTACTTCCCCTTCCTCCTAGTCACTTTCAGTGTCAGTTATTTTACTTAGTGTGGAGGCTATCTTTTTGATAGGCATTAAAGTTATCCAAACCCATATGGTAGAAAACTCAGTCACAATGAATATCTGTAATCGCAACGCTTCAAGCAAACAAAATACACTTAAATACCTGTGCAGAAATATCACTTACTCCAGATGGAAGCGATGATCCAAGACCATCGGATATTGCATTCATACGATTAGGAGAATCATTGACATCTCTTCTCAATCGATAACCTTGTGATACAAGTAAACTGATGCTAGCACCAACTGGAATTGATTGAAATAATGACACCAATTGAGAATGCGTATAGCCAAGAACATTTGTACCATTTACACTAACCATTACATCACCAACTGCCAACTGACTGTTCAATGAAGCTGGACCACCTGGTACAAGATGTTTTACCTGAAATATGTTAGATCAAAATGGATATAAGTAGATTATATCTCATAAAATAAAAGCAGTTAACGCATAATTATTCACAAAAGTACATCAGCCTGTTGTATGCAGGCTGTTGAACATAGTTTATGTACTACTACACAGAAGTCATGTGACCGAAGATATAAGCCAGTGATTCTGCTTCCTGATAAAGCGGTACTGATGAAGATGACTAGACCGACTTCGGAAGCACATCTAGCAAAATTCTAAGTTGAGAGGTAGAAAACTATCAGATCATCCACGAGCCAATCTGTTAACATTTACCACTATATCATATCCTTTAGGTAAACCGTAATAATAATAATAATAATAATATCTAATGATAACAATCACGTTCAAGCGATGGTTATTGATATCTGTAAAGGATGGGAAGGGGTTTAAGCTCATTCCATGGTGACCGAGGGGAAAACCCACTTTGATTTAAAAACGGAAATAGCATGAAGAAATCAGCTGTAAATAATCTAGACAACTATACAAGTGATGATAGACGAAAACTTAAAAGGAAGTGCTACAATCACTAAAGATACCGGCTGAGAACACTCAAAATGCATACTTCAGGAAACGAGTGACTCTTAAGACCACACTAGAAACTGCTGCGATACTGATTAGTCTTCTTTATTTTGTTTAGAAAATTACCATTCCAACCGAAATAAAGTAACCTAAGTGGTTAGGTCAGTAGTTGCTAGGAGATGACTTTTAGAGTCACTTCACAAAATGTCAGTTAGAACAACAAAATCAATACTCAGAGAGAGATTGTAAAAAAATACGCAACAGAACTCTAAAATGTCAGCGAATAAATCAGTAAAACAAGAGATTTTAGATATTATTCAATTCTCTAGATAGATCTGCAATAGTCTTTTTTTATTTTCCTGGTTTAAGGTGGGTTATTTACTACAACCAACCTTTATTCGGGCAATAACTTCTACATATTGATGAGAAACAACACTTTATTTAACTGACGAACATAAAATAACCATTGTGACAACAAGTATGGTAGACTAGTGTTGATGCTGTGTGAGGATGGGAGGTAAAATGAAAATTCGAACCGCGGACAACCGGGTTTCCGGCCCGATGCTCTACCAAATGAGATACGAGGTTTGACTGCTGACCAGATTTTTATTTCACTTCAATCACCATGAGTTTCGCCTGACTATCATGTGAATTCATGACGCATTACTACTACTTGATCGTACTTACACTGGCTGCCCAGCAGTCGGGCCTCGTGACCCACGTTAGCATTTCAACTTCAATCATAACTGACTTACATGAAAAGAGAATAAACATTTTTCCTCACAAATCTGAACAAGACATAATAATAGGAGTTCATTTTATCTGGACCATTCCAATTTACTACTTGCTTGCAACCTAAAAGAGTCATAATATCAAAAACATATCTGAAGAGTTTTGATATGCTGTGATTGGGAAGTGAGAATATTGATTTGAAGAGAAACAGAGACATCAAAGCCAGTAGAAATGAGTAGTTCAGGAACAAAAGTAATGCAGTAGTCTATCAGAGTAAATTCCGAAAGACATACAATATTAAGTTGAAAAAATCTTTCATAGTTCTTTTGCTGATATCATCCATTTGACAGTAGACGCCAACGTCGTGACATTAGACTGACCTTAAAAGATAGAATTTACAACGCTTCGGTGAAAGCAGTTCTACTCTACACCTGTGAAATCTGGCTTCTACTAGCCAAGCATGCGTGCCAACTCTGTGTTCGATCATCATTTTCTCCGTAGGATTGCTTCTATCCCGTGGCAACACCGTGTAAGTAATTCTGAGGTACAACAGCGTGTATTTGGGTGTGATAGAGATCGTCATTCAGTAAGTGAAGTCATCTGAAAACACCAACTTCGGTGGCTTGGACATGTGTTACAAATGTCGTCCCAACGGCTTCCATACCGTTCATTGTTCTCTAGCCCTGAGACTGGATGGAAGAAGCGAAGGGATGATCAGTGTATGATGTGGCGTGGCACCTTGGGATGAAGGTTAGTTGTATCGGGTAATTATCTGTTGGTGCATCACGACTCTGGGTGGGGTCCGAGAGACGACGCAACTGATTGGCTTGAGAAGTGATCAGTTATGGCTTAAAATCGAAACCAGTGGCGGTCATGCTGTAGTTTTCTTCTATCTTCTGTTGCTGAAAAATAATGAATTTTTTGTTTTGAGTGGATCCATATTGCACTGCCTTCCTAGTCATTGTATTCCTATTAGGTTTTATTTTTATCCACTTCCCTTCGGCTTATGTCTTCATAATGTTGTTATATCATTTTGTGTGGTGCATTTCTTGGTGCTTGTGATGCACCAAGTTTCTGTTCGAATAATAATATTAAGACATCACCAAGAAGATGTTGAGTCATTTGAAGTTGTCAACAGATAGATGAAGTCGAACTTACTACATTTTACCGAGACTCTTCAGCTCTTACATGCGAAGCTTATCGCTTTTCCCCGAAGTTAGTAACTTTTTAGTGGATCGACGAAAGTATGCGAACACTTTTGATGTATTCTAATGATCAAATTAATTTAGCTTGACAATAGGCAGACAGACAGAGAGAATCTATGTACAACCTCGCACATAAGCGCCAAGTTGCCACACTTCCCAGTAATATACAAAGAACAAGTGAATAGCACAACACATATCTAAGTAGACAAAGTTGCGTAAGAGAATTAACAATTCGAAGATAATCGTTAGTACAGACATGCAAGCTTTAGATGTCAAGGAGTGTATACAACTGCGCCATTGTGACCAATGTTTTGCCGTCACCAAGAGCGCTCAACCACAGATCGTCTCAGGGACCCAAGCCAAGCAATCTGCATCCCTCGTCATGTTTCAAACGAACAGTCAGGGACTCCGTCGACTGGTATTAGTCTTGAAAACAAGCAGCTGACGAAGACTGCCAAAATACAGTGAATATTTATGTTACTTCATTATTTTATCATACAAATTACAAAAATACATCAAACGAAATGAGATGTTGTACGGTATGTAGAGCGACATAGTATGCAAACATGAAATATTAAAAAAAGGAACAAACCAAATTCCCTGTCAAATATCAGTTTTATGGTTATAGCCATCATTATTTCGGCTGTCAAAATGATGCCTCCTTAAAATCACCATAATTTTAATCAAGAACATGTGATCAGTACAAAAGTTAATGGTCACTATTAGTTCACCATTAGATTGTATATTTTAAAAGTACCATAGTTGTCATTTATTTTATTAGCTGCCAAAGTTAACTGCTATATTCTTAAGTGCTGTTACGTTCGATGAGGTGTATGCAGTAACTGCGAAGCTTCCATTGGCATTCTAGTCAACACAATAACTGCCAACCTCAAGAGAGTGTGACATATACAATCAAAAGGTTAGATATTAGATCAACAAAACGATCAATGAAACTAAGGGTGCACACATAATGGTGTCAAAGCATTTGATGACAACCAATCGCTGACAAGTTTATCAAAATAGAATCAGCTTGTGACTTGTAAAGAGATTTTAAAAGTTCTCGAGAAATCTCGATTAAGATACATAGGAAAATAGAAACAAGTGGTTCAGAGGAAAGATTTTGTCAGCGATTTCATTCACTAAACTGTTCAATCGCATCTATATACATTTTTGAGACTTAGCGACAAAATGCAGTCAATAGAGAAGTTGTTTTCAGATCATGATTTATGCATGAGCTGACAGGAGAACCTGATTAGAGAAATTCAACGTCATACAACAGATCGGATTGGTTCATTTATGGCTTCATTTTCTGAGAGTTTTGTAAATACATATATATCATATATTTGCCTGATAAAGTTGTCGTTGTTCTTGCAGTCACAGCCGTCCTTTGTCTTCTGGTTTTTCGTAGCTCAGTGAAGTAGAAGGTACTGAGGGAGATCAATCATAAAAGTATTCGGTTGAGATGTCTATTGAGTCTCAGTATCATTATACCCACGCCCGTAATTTCACTCGGTCACAACAATTTTCCTCGGTGAGAATGTATAGTTTATATGTGAAAGCAGTTTGTCAAGGATTGGAACAGGCGAAATTCAATTGCCTTGGCCTAAAAATAGAGTTGCTTAGATTAGTGAATATTGCTACAGAGGCCACAGAAACTTAGCAAAAATATGAATAAGTAACATGGGAAAAGATTAAATGAATGAATTGTTATCATGGTGAGTACAGTAATAAGAAGTCGATGATAATACTTAAGAAGTAGTAAGATAAGATATGGAAAGGAAAGAAAAATCGGTCAAAAGAAGTGAAAGAGGAGAAGGAGAAATGAGGCAATACTGAATTCAGTATAGCGGTTAACATCAAGATAATGTGCGCCACTGACATTGATTCTGATTCATATCACCCAGAGTCTGCAACAACTGGTTTCTGTTGTCCTCCTGACCCTAATCGGCTAGTCTGCATCTCTCTACACGCCAACAGTCTAAGACTTCATGCAATGATGCCATATTTTACTCTGACCACCCCGAGCTTATTCCACCTTGAACTTCACCTAACACTGAGCAACGAGACAGATAATGACTAGGCAAGAGTAACACATGTCCCAGCCATCTTAGTCAATGAAGGTTCACAACCACATTAACTGACTTTCCTCTCCTCCCTAAAACTCTACACCTGACTTCTGCGTTATTCATGTGGTCGGAATTCATGTGATATACCAATGAACCGAGTCAGAGTTCTGTTGCTCAATAAAACAAACGGCGTGGATTGCGAATTTTACAATGCGATAGAATATAATTACTTCGGTGATTTTGTGCTACATGCAAAAAGGGGTATTCCCGACGCAACCAAATGAATTTGATCTGGCTACAACTAACGGCTTACAAACACAATTGACATGTTACAACTGGTGACACCACGATACACTCAAACTGCCTAATCAGCGGTTCTTATAGTTGTAAAAAAAGTGTCATAGACATACAGAAGAGCAAACAAGCAATACTGAATGGTGTAGCTGTTCAGGAAAAGAAGCATAAACTCTTAATATCCAAAACAACATTGACAAAAACAAAGGTCGACTAACATACCTGTAGATATGCTGACCGATTACAATCAGAACCACCGATAATTGTAAATCCAAAACCACGTGGACTTTTTACTAAAGTTGTGGTAATTAGTGGACCTCTTAATTGTTTCAAATCTGAACAGAAAGTCATTGGTGTAATACGACCACCGTCGTCGTCAACTGATGAGACTTGTTCACTGCACTCCTCATCATCAGGAGTATCACCATTCGCTGTTTTCTTGCCATTACAATTGATATCAATTGGTACAGACTTGATATTTTTCAAATTTGTAATTGGATTGTTACTATTATCATTCACTGATTCAATTTGTGATAAATACTTTAGACGTGCTTTCTCTGCTATTTGAAAGTCTTCCACTGTTGGTGGTTCATATTGTGTATGCTTATTAATATGGTCAATATAAAAGGTACCATACTTAATATCTTGCACAATTTCCCAACCATATGGTAATACATGTTCACCAGGTTGATCTAATTTATCCACTGAATAGGCAGTTTGATCACAAAACTAAAAACAAAAGAAAAATAGTCTTATTACAATTACTAGTACTAATAGTAAAGTTAAGAATTAAGAAATATATGTAAATAAAAAATGTTTTCGTGCTTATGATTATTATTGATGGGGAAACTGACATAAATGTCGCTTCGAAAAATCAATAAGTCAGAATGAACAACATTTGCCCGACCAAACTCAGTCAATAAAGCTTTGCAACTTCATCGACAGACTCATCTACATTGCCTATAAAATAATTCATAACAGATAGGCAAATCAACTTGAATGTGTGTTTTCGAGACAGAAAAAGAGACAAAATCACCGTAGAACCTCGTACACAAGTGCATCAGTTTAAGTTTCCACACGCTTCATAGTAGTATGTACAAAGAATAGGTAGATAGAAAAAGAGTGATATCAAAGTGGATAAAGTAATGTGAGAGAATCAACAATTGGAAGATAAAGGCTAGTGCCAGTATTCAAGTTTTACAAGATGTCAAGGAGTGAGTACATCTGAGCCATTGTCACCGATTTTCAGCCATGTCATCAGAAATCCTCAACCACTGATTCATGTCGTTTTGGGGACCCCAACCAGACAGTCTACACCTCCACATACGGCTAAGACCAAGAGTTAGGAACTTCATCGACTGGTGCCACAACGTCTTGGTCTGGCCACCATGAACTTTTTTTCGATATATTATCGTAATAAAGTGTGGTCTGAACATATACAACGAAAGCATTTTGAGCAAAATACAAGTGGCATTCCTCCATCTGCAAACTTGTCACAACTTAGACCCATTAGACCACAAGAATAACAGAGGTAAGGTACGACTACAATATACAGCTGCTTAATTGTGACTGCTCTAGTAAAACATCTACCCAAAGAATAAATGAAGTATATAAATATAGAAATTGAACACTGTCATAGAATGCAATTCTGTATCAGATTTGTGTTAGGTCGGACAGATGCAAAGAATTAGTCAACCATGATCAGCAATTTTGATATAGACTTTACGTGAGCTTTGAAATAGCCTACTTGTCAAAAGGAGGCCCGAATGTCTTAAAGTCTTCAGGAAAGCTACCCACTCAGTATGTGATGTGACGGTGGGTATGTATGTTGATCAGACAAATAAACATTTATTATAGGAGGTTAACTGCGACCCTAAAAGCTCATTAGCAACGACGCTGACTGCAGCACTGAGTGATGAGGGTTTGAATCTCAGGCGGGACATCAGCTCCATAGAAGTTGCAGGTACTCCTTGCTGACGAGTGTCAAAAACCATGAAAACTAGGTCCAGGGCTTCCTGTAGATTAAATCCGTCTAACTAATATCTCTCTCAGTGCATCAAGTAAAAAGGTAGTGAGGTGAAGGGATGGTCAATCTCCTAGCCTGCTGACCTCACTGCAAAATGATCGATAGAATTCGATCTGTACTCCTGACTAGACAACATGAGACTGGTTGCTCTCCAGTGACCAACCAATGAACAGTTATAACACTTTTCACATGCTTCCTTATTCATCCTTCAGGACACAAAAATATGGAGCCATATTTGTTCTGTCTGATATTTTATAACTGGAATTAATGAAGAGTTAATAAGATCTCAACCACAAAGCCACTTTGCTGACCAGCCCCAAACCGAGTAAAATCCACGTCTTAGACTCCACTGCTAGCCACTAACTAAACTAAAATATAATGAATATTCAGGCAGTAGCGAGACATCTGCATAGGAGTCAATCTGCTAGCAGAGGTCGAGCAATTTGACTCAATATAGCATCGAGAAATTACAAGTATTCGTAAATAACGATAACTTGCTTATTCGACATAACATACAAGTAATGCAATACTGTTTACTGGATAGATAATTATAACAGAATAACACCGCATGATTGCGTGCTGTAACAAGTTAAAAATCTAATCCAGAGTGTAAGTGTCGTCCAATAATGAGTAATAAAGCATTGAAGGATAAAACAGTCACACTGTTCAAGGACAGATGTCTTAAACCTTTCATGACATCCCAACAACCAATGTGTTGATGTAAACTGTGACAGATTGGAATGATCCATAATTAAACCGTAATGTACATCATAAATGCCTGTCCATTTATCATCAACATTATTAATCGAACACAAACTTTGTACGACATGGGCATCAAAAGAAGCGCCATACAAAATAATCATAAATCAGCATTATGAAGGAAATGGAAGGGAAAATGGAAAACAAAACAAAAATGGGTAATTAAAGAAATAGTATCAAAAATACCATCGAAGAAACATGCATCACTTTCACTTCACTCTTCAGTAATATAATTTTAAAAAAAAGAAAACTGTAGCATGATTGCCACTGGTTTAGATTCTCAACAATGTCTCCTATTATCTCAAGCCGCTGAACTATATGATCTCTTAGACCTCATCCACAGAATCATGAGGAGCCGACAGACGTCAACCCAAAACATTTATTCTTCATTCCATGGCACCAAGCCATACACTGGCCACCACTTTCTACCCTTACAATCAGTTCAAGGGCAAGCGAACAGTGAGCAGCTAGAAAGACGCATGTAAAACATGTACAAACTACTAAAGACGACGTTTCAATATGATCAAAATCAATGAATGAAGATCTTTATCGCATACGAACACATTCCATCTCACCTCAGAATCACCTACATAGTGTTTTCAGTGAATGTGAGCAATTCTGTGAGGACAACGGTCAAAGGGGAAAGAAGTGTCAAACATCCTCAGCTAGCAGATGCCAGGTTTCACAGGTTTAGAGCAGAACTGCCCAAACCGATGCCTTCTATAGACAACCTATTGCGGTGGGGTTAATATCACGATGACACCAAAAGTGGCCTAGAGTGGTGTTTGCCACTCTGACTTTCGATATACGACTGGAAATCTCATCAGTTACACCTCTATCGGCAACCGCACAACTACCCGGTTAGCCAAAATTTCCGACAACTTCGAACGATTAACTACCAAGATTGAGTGCTGGTACAGGCTGCTGTAAATCTAGCGGGAGCATTTTGTTATACGTTATTGTAAGGCCAACAGCATGCTTACGCATATTGATCGTCAACTGATTGGGTACGATTTTAGTGGCCTGCATATTCATCATCATCTTCAAGATCAACGTAGAGCCAGGCATTAGTGCATAACGAGCCAAGTCGCCATATCTCATATCAGCATACCAGGTAACAAGGCAATAAAATGGAATATAGAGAAGGAAACAAAAGTCGGTCAGAGGAACCAGAAATAGAAAGAGGTCAAAGAGAGGAAGGAAGAACTGGAAGATGATGAGATTAAGTATAGGGGTTAAGATAGGAATAATGTGTGTATGCGTCTGCACCACTGACATCGGTTCTGAACCATGTCACTTAAAGTCTCCAAACACTGGTTTCTGTTGTCCTGTGGACCCCAGCCGGCTAGTCTGCATTGCCCTACATTGCTCAAAACAACAGGGAAGGACTTCATGCAATAATGCCATGTTTTAGTCTGATCGCCTTGAGCCTTTTTCCAGCCTGAACCTATTTCGGCCAGCATTGTGCGACGAGGCAGACAGTGGTTAGGCATATGTAACAGGTCCCAGACATCTCAGTCGATGAAGGTTCACAACCGTATCAACTGACTTACGTCTCTTTCATAAAACTCTAAATCTGACTTCTGCGTTACTCCCATGGTGACACCATGAAATACAGCCTACGCCACGAAGGCAACGTTGGTCAAACACATGAAGCCTTTTCATATTTTACCTTCAATACCCACGTTTCATAGTCATAGAGTAGAACAGACCGGACTCCAACAGAGTACACTCGACCCTGTATATTTTAATATAGTAAAATGATAAAATCCATAAGCTCGAGGTTAAAAAGTCTTTTACCTGTCTTTTATTTGCCTACCTTGTGGAAACAGGAAAATAAATCGAGTAGAACGCCAATCTCATTATTACGTATAATAAAGGTAGATAATGGGGAAAAACTGTACTCGAATGGATTGTGAAAACCCCTGTTCAGCACACACTATAAGGCATCATTACCAGTGTTGAGTAATTTTTCTTTCACAAACGAAACAACCTTTAATTTTAATTGTAAGGAATCACTACAACGCGTAAGAAATGCACCATTGAAGGTGGTATTCATTAGTCACTGAAATCGGTTGGAGAAGTCACGACCTATGGAGTAAATCAGTCAGAAGTGAAGTGGATGTTTCCAATAGCCCGTGGCGAATACTACCTTGGAATAAAATCCTCATAAAACTTAAACTAAAAAATATTTGAATATGAAATGAATTCTTCTCGACAAATATTTGAAATTTTCGGGTCAGGTTTAGCGCTGAAAATTCGCCTAGTCATCTTACTGAAGGTGCAAACCCAATTATCAAGAAGATATCAGAGACAACAGTTCCTTGAGAGAAAGTATGTTTGAAACACTTAGTACCTTTCATGAATTTCGATAGCATACTTAGAAAACGAAGCTTGTCTGAACAATGTGATGTATTTGCGCAATACATTTCGAACAATCCAGCCGGTCACATATTTACTTGTCAAGTCAACATATCTAATAAACCGATGAGTGGAGGGACAAATACAACAATTAACATAATAGGGGATTTAAATCAAGAAAGATGAGAATAAACAGGAAGTGACGTAGTTGATAGTAATCTTGGTAAGAAAACAAAGTTTACCAAGACAAATGTAGTGTAAGAACAAACAATTTTTGTATCCATAAAGGTGGTTTAAATTTGTGTATGGCTATGGCTTCCGCAAATCTCAGAATACGTCCCTGACTGGCTGTTTCTATATAAAACTTTGAAAGCTGTTTGAACATTAACTTTGTGACCTGTTTCTATGATATATTTAGCTATGTAGGAAGAGGGTCGTCTTGCACCAGCATTTATCCCTGTTTCACACTCCATTTATTTTTGAAGCCATTTAGGTACATGTGCTCCCACCCTCAACTTCATGACTTGATTACTCCTCTCTATGTATGTGTGACATACATGTGAATCGGTAAACACAATGAGAT